CCCCCACCTCCCTGATAAAAAATGAACGGTCCCTTACATACCTAATGGACATTCAGGTAGACCACAAAACCCTTGGGCATCTGCATCAGGAGTCCAGTAACCAACTGGTTGAACCATGAAATGCATTCTAATGCCTTCCTTCTTCAAAGCGTCTTGCATTACTTGCATGGTTTCAAGGCTTTCCTTGGGGTCGAAGCGACAATTAACCCCAATGATATCCGCTCCTGTTTCAACAAGGAAATCCAAAACTACTTAAGAAAAACGTCGAAAACCATTTCAAAGTTTACAACTTTCAAACTAAGAATAGATCTTTTCAGCTTCTTGTTTGTTGTACATATTCCAGACCATGTGATGCCACTCTTGGGAGTGGATTCTTTCATGTGTAAATATTTTAACATGTTTGTCATAAAAGAACAGTTCTTAATGTGATCATGAAATGGGCAATTCGCATAAAAAGACATTCGCCGTTCGCCACTTCAATCTTTCTGAAAACCGCTTTATATCACATGTAAGCATAGTATTTTAGGTCTCTCCCTTAATTCCAACGATTTCCCTTCTTATCAAAACCCAGCATGCTAAATTTTAATTCGAATTTTGCGACAGTATAATCATCCGTGCCCTAATAGACCCTTTTCGAGTTCCAAATTACCGCTGTCTTTCTTGATTACAGACTCATTTGCTCAGGCTAAGCCTCGATTTTTTGAAGAATATTCACGTGTTCCAGTCAAGGTCCGTCAAGTTTCAAAGAGTTCGTATCGTTGAAGTTATGCATTCTTCACTTTACCGTTGGTATTTGCGAGTATTTAGACACTGATTCGAGGCTAAGCCTGAGCAAATGAGTCTGTAATCAAGAAACACAGCGGTAATTTGGAACTCGAAAAGGGTCTATTTAGCTCATAGGTTGAGAGGTTGGTTTGGATTAGTTTTTGGGCGCCAAGACTTGAACTTAACATGAGCAGGCCTTCTGCAATAGATTGACACGTGATTTTTACTGGACAGCAAAAAAATGTGGGCGGTCCTTTCTTTAAAGATTTTTTGCTGGATTACTGATGTCGTATCCAAAACCTTTTCAAAAATACTTTTTTCAAAAGATACGAAGCAGTTTAAAGTTTGCTTGCCATCTGGCAGGGCCTCCCCCAAGGGACCTCTTTGGCTGAATTGATTCGTTATCAAAGTGATATATCAGCACATGACCATTGCAAAAGGCCTTTCGAAAATGATCTTTACCTGCTCGAGCAAGACGGACGGCACATTCTGATGGAGATATACCATGTCTGTCACCATGGCGACTTATTGCCATGGTTACGGCTGTTGGCTTGCCGCTGGCCTTCATGACTTCAATCATCAATTCTGCTTCTCCGACATGTGAAATATACTGCTTGCAATAAATGTATATGCATTAAAGATTAATGAGAAAGGATTGGAGGAGTCATAGTTAACGTTGTTATTATTAGTAAAGCAGGATTACCCGGCAGGATTACCAACTGATAACCGATCGATCGATCAATCAAACAAACAGGACATTATAGTGCAGTTTTCGTATGACTGTGAAAAGCTCAGTGCCGTAAGCGTGAGGCGCCTTGACCGTGATGCTTTCTAGAATTTTAATTGGCTGATTTTTTTCACGCGCAATGTGATTGGCTTGGCATTGCCATGACCTTGGCGTGACCGTATCCGCGCCTTGTTTATGCCGTGTTCCGGGTTTTTGATTGGATGGAGAGTAAATTCTCGTGCAATGTGATTGGTCTGGCGTATCCCTTGCCGTGTCATGGCCGTGTTCGTGCCGTGAATTTTTCACAGTCATACGAAAACTGCACTATGTAATGACTGCTTCAACGACTTAACTAAGTACCTCTTGAGCCAGAGAATATGCGTAATAGGTAAATTACGAGCCTTAGATGAAACGACTGAAGAAGAGTGTCATACAAGCCTTTCACAACTTCAAGTCGCGTAAAAAATGATCCAGCTCAACTAGAAACCGTGGACAGCTGTTTCGGCCTGTATTGGGCCTCGTCAGCACGGTGTATCTAGTGAGCTGGCAATCTTCTTCAGTCGTTTCATCTGAGGCTCGTAATTTACCTGTTACTCATGTTCTTATTTGATATCCGAGCCCATCCCACACGGCTTATTGCCTCATCTATCTAAGTATCTTTTGGCAATATTATATTTCGTTCGATGATGATATAAACACTTTTCAGCTCATATGGACAGTTACTTGACGTGACAATTACTGAAACATCCATATAATACACTGCGCACCTAGATTCACTTCACAGCAAACCACGTGCATGGCTACTGCGCGACGGCAATGGAAACATGCCTAACCTCAGCAATCAAGAGATCCACGTCATTCTTCAGGAAAACATTCACTTGTTTCCTGAACTTCTCTTGGATGACCTCTTTAGGGACTTTACCGCTACGGAACAACTGTCCTGTTTCGCAAAGCGATCCCGAAGATAACGCGTGTTGACCTTCTTTGGCCACCTCGTTTGCTAATTTACAGGCAGCGTCATTGACGTCATCCCACTGAAACAAACACGATATTTTTTTCAGTTTTCAACTTTGGAAAAACTTTACAAATCAACCACAGGAATCCCAAGCGTACATTTTTACATCTTGCTTCTAGAAATCTAATGTGCAAAATACAAGATCGGGCTTCCTGTGGTAATTCTAAAAGGCGGGGTTTTTTTCAATTACACTGTTTGATTTGATTTCTTTATTATATGAGATTTAAGCTAACTTATTTACCGACATAACTTTCCCATCGATTTCTATGGGCTCGTCCTGCATGGAGAATGTAAAGGCTTGGATGACGTCAGCACCAGCACGAAGAAACTCGCGGTGAAGTTGACGAACTGAAAAGAAATACCAATCCCGTGACCGTGCAGTTTTGTTTTTAATTAATTGGGTCATTGGGAAGCCATTCATGGTCTGGCAACCCAGAAAACTAGCCATTGCTAGGCTGAAGAAAAAGCTGGGTCGAGATGGCATTGCAGTGCATTCTGGGAATATTTTAGGGGACTAAATAGACCTTAGAAATATGTCCCCTTAAAAAACCCCACAATTCACTGCAATGCCAACTCGACCTTAAAAAAACCCCACAATTCACTGCAATGCCAACTCGACCTGGTTTTTTTCTCCTCAACCTCGGAATGGCTAATTGTCAACAGAACCATACAATACTGCAAATTTAAATTTAAATTCTTAGATTTTCCAACAAATTTGTTAAGATTGTAGGACATAACAACGTTAACTGAGGGAAGTCAGAACCATGAATTTAGATATATATAGGGCTGCTGACACTGAAGCAAAGGAGTTAGAAAATAATAATAATATTTGAAGATTATGCGCGTGGAGACTAACCTGCCTCTGGATGTTCAACTGTGCATTCTGGTGTCCATTCCCCTGCTTTGACATAACCACGCTTTTCTAGGCAATATGTCATTCCACCATCGCCAATGATCACTTCACCTGCATCAAGACGCTCGAGAATTCCTTTCTAATAAAAATTAGAAGGGGATTTGAAGAAAATGAAATTTTAGCATTTTAGTATTCATTAAATTAAATGTATTAAATTAAATTTCGTCAYTGAACAAGAATGAAAATTAGAATGAGAATGAGAATGAAAATACAGGTTGTTTCTGCAACCAGTATGAATACTAGCTTCCTCCCTTGCCAGATGACTCATCCTTTTATACAATGTGCCAAAGTTTGAAGAGGGTATCACAATTTTTTCCAGTACTGAGAATTTGCCTGGCTTTCGATGGGTGAAATGTTGAGGAGTGCGTGAGAGTGTGTATAAAGCATGGGGATTTGGAGGGAAATGAGGTCCATATAAGTATTATAGATTGAAAGAGATATAGGAAAACCATGATAACGATGTTCAAGACAAGGGAGGGAAAATATGAATTTTTAAGAACATAGATTCATCAGGTAAATCCTGACAACAATGTTTCGCACAGGTACTAGGACCAAAGCAAGGGGGACGGTGGTGTTGGGG